GATGCATGCCTACCGCTCGGCACCTAGCGAAAGTAGTTTTGAGTTTGCCTTAACGAGGACGGTTTCCTGATATACAGCTCCTTCCAAATGGCCACTTCGACCGATCATCCTTCCCTTGTGAGACCATCTAAGTGTTCTTTGATGCGCGTGCATAGGGATACGTGTCTCCACATGATGTACACGTTATAAGGTAGACAACACCTGATAGATACCATACAGTCTCCTTTCTTGCAATCACACAACTAGGAGTTGCACAGAGACGATCATACTCCCGGTCGCCTGGACATCAGATTATGATCAGATCATCGCATCATGTTTGCATTTGAGGAGTAAAGGACCACGGTTTGATTACTCAAGTTTGAGGTTCCATCCTCGTGGCAATAAATCATTTTGGTGTTATGGTTGTTGGATGGTGTGGCAAAAAGCTGAACCACTAAACCTCTGTTCCTTCGATTAAAAAACAGTTTCCCGTTCGAGTCGCCTTCGCGATGACAATCAACAAGTCGTAAGGACAATCCTTTTGATAGAGTGGGCTAATACCTCCCAAAGGACGTATTATGGTCAGCTCGCCTTCACACGCCTTCCCGGCAGGTTTGAAGGTAAATTGTCCAGACAAATCAGTAAAAGATGCTGTATGTGATGAGGTGTTGCTATAAAAGCATCTCAACTAGCAATTTACTCAGTAGACTTGAATCAACAAAAGTAAACTAAGCATCACTTAAGTAACATGAAACCCCAAAAAGATTACGCAAGAATCGCATGTCGAATTACAAGACATCTTTATCGTCTTATTAGTTCCAAAAACGTTGCTCTTTAAATTTTCAAAAACACAAAACCGAATAAAAACTTTCAAAAGCCATCGTTGCTTCTTTGCAACTGATTACTAAAAAAAACTGAAATCTCTAAATTACGGTAATGATGTGGTATAGATGATCTCAATTTGCAAGAAACCCGAACAGCCGTAAGGCTTTATTACCAACAACCCTATTTTGTCTTGTAGACAGTTATCACTGAATGTGGTACATCGACATTTGACAAGTGAGCTCATATAGGCAAGTAAAAAGCCTTGTCCTTAGCAATATCGAAGCAAAATTAGCAATCCTGTTGATCAACCGTGTTCATCTCATGTGCGCGTTTTCAAGTCAACCTTTAGCACTGTCAATCTGCCTAGCTGAGGTGAATCCTTCTTCTCCTACTTAAACTATAGCTCTCATCTTTGAATTGTCGAGTTCTCATGTGAAAAATCTTGAATAACGCATAATCATTCACTTTTGACTGAAACAAGATCACAAACAATGTTCTCTTTTAGCGGTAGCAGAAGCAGCTGCCGTTGCGTTTGCAGTATCCCTTGGTCCCATGACGCTGAAAGCAAAAACAACGGTTACTAGAGCACCTCAAATAGCATGAAGTATAATTTATCTATTCTTTCTACAGATGAGCGAAGAATGTGTCTCATTTGGTAAATAATGTGTTTCTATAACTTGCTTCCTTTCTCAGAAATCTGCCATCGAGGTCGCTGTAATTCTATCTTTTGATGCGGCAGACGAGGAGACGTTTGAGGGTTTGCGAAGTTTTTCATTACGTGATCTTATATAGCTTTTTTGAGAACTGCATTGGAGAGCAACCTCCAGCGACATCCGTGGCAGTTTAGTGCTTGAAAATGGATTTAATTCTGACAACTCTTCAGCAAGCACCACTTTTAGAAGAGGGAGTCAAGTTGACTGAAAGTAAGGAGTTTTTGGAATAGGAACCTGATGCTGGTAAGCGCAGCGTTTAAAGTGCCAACAGTCTGAGGCTAAATAAGGTACACTTTGCAAAAATGTGCAGAAAAATCGGATTGAAAACCTCTTTGCTCGTGATCAAAAATGCTTCCCTTATTCAGCGACGGACTACAAACACTTCTGATTGTGATCAGATGGTATTCAGCGCTCAACAAGCACAATGTAGATTCAAAGATGATTGTGGCAGAGTGAGTTACATGAATTTGGAATGAGTAGAAAATACATAGGATTTTCTCCTATCAATTGCTATTCCATTTTCCAGCCACGGGCTGTGGATCTATCTGATTGTGATCATCTGTTATTTAGTGAATGTTAAAAGTTCCCGGTGAGGAAATCAGAAATTCTGCACAGTGTGAACACGCTATAGAAAATTTGCTGCTATATATGTAGTTTGAAAAAAAATTACATGTAGTATACAAAGAAGCCTGCACCCTGTTTTGCCACCAATTCGGCACATAACTGCTTCAATGCCAGCCATCAGGCAAGACAGAAAGATCGAGAGAAGCATGTAACTCATTAGTTTCATGTTCTGAAATTTGTGGAACTTTTCTTAACTGTCTCCCAATATACTGATTGAGCTTTCGACAAACTACCCTAATTTCACGCGTAGAAGACGCGGGGTGGTCCTAGCTTTCATCGAGCTGCTCAGCCGCCCCAACGTGTTTTAAGAAGCGATCCTTATGCCGCACGATTCGTCAGGCAAAACGCAGCACGGTATGGGGTTCCTTTGGTTGCGAAGTCCTTTGCCGTGTTCGGGCTGGTCGATGAAAGCTAGGACCACCCCGCGCCTTGTACGCGTGAAATTAGGGTAGGTTATTCATTGCTTTGAAGACAATTGCAAGCTTGTTAATTCAAAAGAAACGTAATGTAGGCGATGTTAATAACGTATCAAAGATAACTTTTAACTATCAAAGATACCGCAGCGTGGTTCAATTGGTTTTCCAGAAAGCTCGGTCCAAGGAGACTTGCTGTGAATAGTTTTGAAAATTTCAACTAAATCAAGCTGATCACAGATGCACGATACCAAGACCCAGAGTCAGCGTAAAATTGCATATAAGAGTGTTGCGGTGACCGTCAAAATGTTAGCGCTGCGAGTATGACTATATTCGAAAACACTTTGCGTTAGCCGAAGTCCTTCCCGCTTATACCAAACATAAGAAACTGCGGAAAAAGCATTCGCAGAAAACACTAAACGGAAGCTCTTGTTTTTTTCTTTTTGTACAACAATCCGGAATCTCCCTGGAGCTTTTCAACGATAGTGATACTCGCCGTGTGATTAACGATCGATGATCGGCTTACAGATTTATGTGCAGGGCTCGGCACGAGGTGGCTTACAAGCAAGCTGGATATCGTTTTTGGGACGAAAAGCAAAGGTTTTTGTGACCGAAGAGACACGGAAAATTGGCGACGGCGACTTTTTTTTTTAGTCGACGTTTCGTTTTTTGGGGGATTTTGGGGAATTTTTCAGGTTTTTAGAGGAAATTTGGTTGAGGGTCAAAGGGGACTTCGTAAAAATTCCCAAAAGTCAAGGGGGACTTCGTTTTTTCCATTTTTATCTAGCCACCTCGTGCCGAGCCCTGTTTATGTGGAGGCGGGTTGCGGACTTTCCTTGACTATAGCAGAAAAACAATGCTGTAACGTGGAGGTTTAACTAGTTTTCCCCTTATATTCAGTATATGGTAGTTTTGAACTGAAAGCATTGAATAGGTTGTCAGCTGCATAATACATTCAATAGACGTTGATATACGACCCCTAAAGGCTGGACAACAATGACGCAGGAATGCATCTGTGAGCGCTCATGCTAACTGACATTCCTTGTTGAACCTTGTAGATTTCAAACGTTAGATGAGAGAACCGGAGCCGAACTTCATAATGCGGATGGAAAACGTTCGGTAGTATGAGGTCAAGTGAAAAAGTCGAGTAGAGTGTTTGTGGGTGTCCACCAGTGTTCCCAATATATACAGTCTATGATAACTAGTTTTCTCATGAAAAAAAATAGGACAAAAACGTATTTTTAGCGACGTCATGGTTTTCCCCAAACGGCCAACACATTTATGATAACTAGTTTCAACTTGTATCAGACTGTCAATTCCACAAAAACAGTTTGACAGATATTACATGCAATAAAACCAGTACGTAAGTTTTCACAAATCGCTCTCATCTTGTTGAACAAGATGATTTTATGATAGACGGCAAATCGTCACTGCTAGTCGAAATTACAACTTTCTAACGTTGTTGTTGAGAAAAAGATAGTACTATAACTTATTCAAAAATGTGCATATTTTCAAAAAGATCTTGTTTGAAAGCTATACCTTCAAGGTGACCTTCAAAATCGGGTGTTGTTTGAGGGCATAAAGCTGGTCATCATTCTGTCTCTCTTATCTAGAAGTTTTGGACGGGAGCCTTAACTGCTTATTCGAGCTAAAAATTGAGTGCGCAGCTTGTCTGTTGCAATGAACATGCTCTGTAGAGTGCCCGAGTAATGCAGGGAAAAGTTGCAGGCATTCAACGTTGAGCTCCGTGCAATCTAGATAGGACTCCTAGCAGAAGATGCCATTCAGAAAATTGAAGTATTTCGCCGCAGAAGCAACGAAGCAGTGAAAGTTTTCCATGGCTGAAAAGTGTGTTTGGTTGTAATCGTAATTGGAACGATGAACCTCCATGGATCCGGAAAAATTTGGATTTGACCCATTTTCTTGACTTCCTGTCAGGACATATGAAATCTTAAAGAAATTTATGGATGAAATAATGAAACCAAATATTACAATGACACAGGCAGAACGCATCGAAAGTTCTGGAACTATAGGATTATCCTAGACACATTTTCACGAAAATTATTGTAAATTGATTCTTACCATTGCAAACTAAATTCGCTTCCGTTGTGAGTGGCTTTGAAATCGGCGGGCTCCGTAAGAAAGATGCTCTGTCAGATCTCCAGAATCCTTTACAAAAGGTAAAAATGCAGAAAATAGATTAATTGGAGAAAGTAACCAACATAATTAATTCTGAAGCCTCCACCCAACAGATGCGACTTTGTCTGCCCGGTATGAATTTTTCATCAATAATTCTATTGAATGAGTATAGCATATCTTATATAACTTTTGTGCATTTTGGATGCGCTTTACTCGAGATTTGAAAAAAGTGCAGATGAGCTCAGTGTATCAGGAAATTTGCCAATTTCGCGAAAGCCTGAAAATTTCGGGACCCTGAAGCTGGTGCATAATTAGCTGCATGCATCTACATCTGGGGAAGGTACTGCAGCTTGGAAAAGTTTCGTGTCCTAGAGCTCTGGGGATTCCCAGTGTCTATCCAACAGCAAGTGTTTCTACTGTCTTTTACTGTTACATATCTAACCAGAAGGAGAATGTAAAGACCACTTTCAGTTTTCTGTGTGATCCCGTAAATGATCCCTGGCGGCCGACCTTCTTACCTTCAAAGTTATCTTTCTTTCTATGAAGTTGAAAATTCCAAAATTGTGCTGATCATTCGAAACAACAGCCAAGCATGCTTCTGATAAGAACAAATGCGCTATCAAAATATTGAGATTTCCGATAAATCCCAAATTTCGACTTGTGGTTTCATCGTAAACTTCATAATTTTGATACATCATTTGCTTATCAGAACATGTTTGGCACCTGTTGGATTAGATGAACAGACAGCTTTGAAATGTTTTCAACAAGTTCCAAGAGCGAAAAATTACTTCGAAGGGAAAACGGTCGGCCCGCCGGGAATCGTACAGATACTGGGAAATGCGCTTTGTACAGCTCTTGTTTATAATATCTCATAGAAGGTAGTAGAAACATTTGCGGTTAGATAGACGCGAAAAATCCAGATGTCCAGAGCTTGAATATGAAGCTTCTTTCAGAATGCGTTTCTCCCCCCGGATGTATATGCCTGTGTTCTTCAGATTATGCACTGCTTGAAGATTCCGAAAACTTTTGGGCATTCGAGAAATTGGCAAAATGATGCTGCACCCAGCTCATCTGCATTTATTAGGTTGGTGCAAAAGTTTTGTCAGTTTTTTCAATCCATCGGCAAACACGCTAGAATGAAGATAAACAAGCACTCCAAAATGTATCCGATGCAGAATTTCTTCCCCTTTCCAGGTGCTGAATCGCATTGTGTTTCGTTGAAGGGGTGATGAGATATTCGCTGGAAATTGCAACCATTTGTTTTTACCATATCCACATTTCGCTAATTTTCAAAATTTTTATATGAGACGTTTGGAGGAGCCTTAAGAACCACCAGATAGAGCAAACTTTTTTGCCATCAGAAGCAAATTTTTGCAGCCCTGCGGCTTGTCTTCCAGAATTTCTACGATTTATTTTTTGAAGAACCAAATTTTACATCTAGCCTAATTTAACTTCGTAGAACATAAAATGTCAAACACTTCAGTCATCATTCGATGCAACTCTTTCTCCTCCTTCTAACACTTGTCTTTCTTTGCCGAGACAGGCGAAATTTGTAGGAAGAATCGCAGTATTTCTTAATTTCAGGAGTCCGCACTTACTTAACCTGCGTTTCAAAATATTCATAATCGGAGACGAAAATCGCTCATTTACTTTGTAATGGTGGTGGTAGTAATAATTAGGTGAAGACTCAGTATTCTGTAGGTCTTGCAGTGTTTGGTGCAATAACATGTTATGCGATTTTTCCAAAACACAAGACTTTTAGGAAATTATTTAGCAAAAATCTGAAAAAGCAGCTGAAAAAAATAGCGTGAGTTGGCAAAAGATTTGCCCTATCTGGTGGTTATCAGGGCTCCTCCGAAAGTCTCCTACAAACATTTCGAAAATTAGTGAACGTTGAACATGGTAAAAACGAGTGGTTGTAATTTCCGGCAAATATCTCGTCATTCTCAACAAAACACAACGGAAGTTTAGCAGCTAGAAAGAGGAAGAAATTCTGCATCGGATACATTTTGAAGTGTTAGTTTATCTTCATTTTAGCATGTTTGCCGATGGATTTTGAAAAACTGACAAAACTTTTGCACCAACTAATATTTCAAATTTCGATCCCTTATCCCTCAAAAAGTGTAATAAGCTCCTTGTCTCGTCTATTGTAAGTCCCCAGCGCAGAAAGTGGCAAAACATTCTAATCATACACAACAATTACATTTAAAAAGAGCGAAATGCTTCAGCTAGCTCCACACCTGGCTATTTATTTTCTTACAATCTACTTCAAAGTTCTCAACAGGCGGAAGCACTTATTATTGGCTTTGATTCTTTATCCTTGAATAGCAGTGGCGTACCCAGGATTTCCGCTCGGGGGGGCGCGACAAAAATTTTTTTCGAATGAAGGTGCGTGGCGTTAGCCACGCACTCCGAAAAAATTTTAGGCCGAAAAAAAATTTTTTACAAGGCTAATTTGAATTTTTAAAAATTTTTAAAAATTATTTTAATTATTTACAAGTATAAACAAGTCATTTGCACATTTTTATAACCCTTATAAATAACTTTCAAAAATTTCGCGACCCATTCTCGGGGGGGGCGCGCGCCCCTCCCCCCGCCGCCCCCCCTCGGTACGCCACT